TCTGCCTCTCCCCCCTCTCTCTCTCTCTCTCTCTCTCTCTCTCTGTTTTTTTTCTCTCTCTCTCATTCTCTCTCTTTCTCCATATCACTCTATCTCTCTCAACCCCCTCTCTCTCTCTCTCTCTCTCCTTCTCTCTCTTCCTCCATCTCACTCTATCTCTCTCATCCCCCCCTCTCTCTCTCTCTCTCTCTCTCTATGTTCCAACCGAATACCCCTTTCCAACTCTTTATCACAACCTCATACCATACATTCAAACACCATTCTACCTCCCACTCACTCACTCGCTCACCCAGTCACGGCTGCATAATAAAAGATCTGTGAGTACTGGTGATCATTTTTACATCTTGAGAAGATTTACCTTATCCGGTACCCGTCACATTTGCGTCAGTGCGATATTTGATTACCATTCTTGAGAGCTATTCTCGGCGTGTTCGGAGGGAGGTCGAGCCTTCCTAAGTACAGCCCTGTAACTAGGGGCGGTGATCCATCATTAGGAGGGGGAGGTATGAATGTATCCATGGTAGTAAATGCCCCACCGCACATGAATCATAAGGAGGTGTAGTGGTATATTGGTTAAATCATTTGACTCCTGATCCAAGGGTCGAGGGTTCGAATCCCAGCTCGGCACTAATGTCTTTTGGGAGGACATTAATCCACATTTACCATTCCCCAACCAAGTCAAGGTGTAATGGGTACCTGGCATGTTAGGTTAATAATAAAATACAAGAGCAAAATGAATACTGATGTGGCTAAATTGGGTAAATAAGACCCAATTCTAATTATCATAAGTACCGTTTTTAATAGGCCATTTTCGTATTGTAATCAAATTTAATGCACAAATCTTTGTTAAGTGCCTCGTTACAAATTATGTCATTCATCTGTTGCGAATAATTGCATATCAATAGTAACAATGCGAATTGCATAAATTACGTGTTGTTAGTTAGGACAGACCACAACGTTTGTCCTACCTAGCAACAATTAATGTATGCAATCGAAAGATAGGGCTAGGAAGGGTGGCTTGGATCACCATTTTCTCGTATGTCTTGCCCCTCCCCCTTCCCCAGTCAAGGTCTAGATACGCCACTGCTCAAAGATGTATCAAAACCTAGAAATGGCGTTTCCCCTTCTCCCCCTCCCGAAACTTGTATTAACATTTTGCTTTACATTTTGTTTATTGGGGGGGGGGGGGTAAATAGATATATCAAAATGCCCTTCACCCCCATCCGCCCCTTTAAATTTGCAACATTTTTCTCACAGCTCTTGAGGAGCGATGAATGACAAGGTCTTAAGAACCGAATGCGTTTCAAATTAGACACCATCTCAAATTGCTCTCTTGTTTATTTCAAATAAACATTTCTGAATCATCACACCACACGGGCTTTCGACCTACAAATTTCATCTTTGTCCTTAACATTTCTAGTTTAAGGCAGGTCAGTGGCGTATAGAACGGGATGTTACCGGCAAACGCCCCTCAACCTTGTGATGAAAAATCAGTGCAACTTGTAATGGATTTAGCACGCGGGACTGCCAATGTGAATTCCCCCTGTTTAGTAACTCAAGGATATGCTACTAGAGGGTTTCCTAATTCGTAGTTGCCTTTCGATATTCTCCCAGCGCCAATGTTATATTCTCCTCTATGAGATTTCACGCAGCTCGATATGAAGCTATATGATAAACAATTTTCAAAGAGTCGTACACTTGAATTCATCCGATTTGTTGTATAAGCTATTATATCCTGCATAAAAAATTTGTTGGCTTTTGATTGGTTGAGAGCTCGTCACATGACTAGAAATATTTGAACTATTTTTATAAAGTACTATATGAGAGTACTATTTGGGAGTGCTATTTGGGTGATTTTAAAAAAAAAATTAAAAAATTCAAATCTTAATTTAATAAAAAACATTTTAAATCTTTTTAGATAAAATTGCCAATTTTTTCGTTCTAAATTTTGTTTCTTATTCAATTAAAAAAAAAAATTAAAAAAAAATTGTTGATGCAGGATATAAAACAAATATACCATGCCTTCTATTCGAGGTACTGGTTAAAACTATGGGCCTCGGTGACTCACCTCTTGCGCATAGTTTTAACCAGAACCTCTCAAGACGGAGTATATTTGTATACTATAGTATGGTGTGATGAAGTAATGATGATAGTAAAGTTTGTACTATGATATCGAAAAGTATCGTCAAGTTTATTTCTTATATTTTTACTCTGCACCATATAAACCCCTCAAAAAATAAATTTTTGCAGTTCAAGCTTTAGCGTTGATATCTCTCTTTTTACTATATTATACTTGACGTAGATATCATTAAAAAGCCTGTTTATTCCCCTTTACAATGATGGAACATTTGTTATGATTATGTCATCATGGAATGTGCAGTACACCAGTCCTGAATATTATGGAGCCAAGTGAAATGTTGAAAATGCATTGCTATTTCCAATAGGGAATTCTTCATTTGTTGGGAGGATGGATTGTGTTATTGCAACACGTCAAATCAGATAATAATGGTAACAAGAGAGATATCAACGCTTAAACTTGAATTGCAGAATTGTTTGGAGGGGCTTTACATCTTCCCACAACGGACATTGGATCATTCGGTGTTAATTCCATTATAAGTTGTTATCATTTAAATCTCTACATGACTTTCACACGATCACAATTCCTCTTGAAAAATCAGCTCAAACTGTCGAAGCTATTTTGTAATAGCCTTGCCCAATACCCATCACATTTAGAAATGCGCGAGCATTACAATGACTTGCTCCATATTGACCTTACGATAGGATTGGAATACACCAGTTTACAGTTGTGTGCGCCATTTTAAACAAAGCCAATGACCTAGAGGTCATGTATTTATGCGTAAATTAGGATTGCGCCCATGCAAATTTTGATGATATCACTGCCCTACGCGCTGCGTTGTGCGCGCACATCATCATTTGCATGGGCGCAATCTTAATTTACGCATAAATACCAGAGGTCAGAGGTTATTGGCCCCGTTCCGGGGCCAATGACCCGAGGTCAACTGTCTGCGCATGCGCACTGATACAACTGTATACTGGTGTATTGCCCTTGAGTCTATTTTTCGAAAGTAGTTGCCATCGTGTTCGTTGATAAATTACTTAGAAGAGAGATCAGATCACGTTTGGTCCTTAGAATGTTTATTTCCTCCTCCATGCGATATTGAGTTTTTAAACGTCGGGGTAGTAACCAGGTACAGAATAAATGAAAGTGAAAAAGGTCGATTTTACATGTCATATCAGACAAAGTTTATACCATCTGAACTTTAATATCATGTTCAAGTCAGCCAGTAGAACAACAAGTGCAAATCCATATCGCTATTTCGGAATTGAAACCCGATCTATCACCTCCCTTCTGCACCACGTAGCATTCAGAGAACATCTGTTGAAATCATTTTCAGTGCAGATATTATATAGGTCAACGAGTCGCATAGGTCACATAAATAGACATTGGTGCCGACGCCCTTATTTAAAATTAGCGTTATTCATCTACAGCAATATAGATGGGATTGGGCTAAGGCTCCCCTGTCTCTTTTTAGTGGTATACATTTGATTTGAGAGTTTGTTCGTAATGATGTTATAAACGTATGTATTTTAAATCATAGCTTCGCTTGTCCACACAAACATTATAACCCCCACAACCTACCCCATGCCCACCCTAAGTCCTAAAATGAAAAAGATTCAGAAGGGCATGCTCTTGTGGAGAATAGCCCAAAATAAGTACACGGTCGCCCATTTTTTTTACAACTTTGCTTTAGAGGGAAAGAGAATCAGGCTCATTAGGACGAAATGATACATGAGAACGCCAGGCCCTAAGGTGGTGATGCTTGTGGCAAAGGGTCGTATCGTCTTGTTTTACGCCCCCTTCCCCTCTCTCTCTCTCTCTGTCTGTCTCTCCTTCTCATTCTCTCTCTCTCTCTTTCTTTCTCTCTCTCTCTTTCTCTCCCTCTGCCTGTCCACTTTATTCCATTCGATGGGGGCGTAACCCTGTACCCCTGCAGACACGCTACTGAATGAGAGTTCCTTTCCAATAGAAAGACAATTAATAATGCTCTAATGAGACCCGGCGTCCTCTTTATGTTCTATTTCTGGCTGACCCGTGTGGAACGCAGTCAGCGTATTTACACAACCCCTGCTCATGTACGGTATCCATGCTACTGATGAGGTTAGGGATCCCAGTTGACATTACCCCAATATTTGACCGGCTGTTGGTCTGCAGAGGTGATCCGATATAATGTTCCGGTGAATGTAATTGCTCCGGGTTTTATTTTCAGATGTCAGAGATATAGAGTTAATGTTAGGGTTCTAGTTGAGTTTTTAGATTAGGGATGGGTTAGGGTTATGGTGAGTGTTTGATCCAGGATTGAAGTTAAGAATTCGATTGGCGTAGGAGAATATTGACCATGAATTGTCATGGGAACATGTCCTGTCCCTGCGGAAGGAGCAATCGGCATTATGGGGTTGAAAGATTATTCGAATAGTGTGTCCTGCTATCAATTCATTTCTATTTGTCATAATCCTGCTTCAGCCTTTTGGTTCATCAATTTATCTTACTACGTGTCTCTAAGTTTGATGGCGCTCATTTCCTTTTCTGCTTTTATCTGATCGCCGTCCAATCGTCCATAAACGTAGCAGCCAGAATTATTCTGTACAGGAATAGTTGTGTACTTGATAGGATTTATTAAAAAAACAGTTTGGGAAACGCTCATATTTTGGTGTAAATTGATTATTCCTGTTTCATTTCTGTAACACAACACTCAACAAATTATTGTCAATGATATCTAAGTCTACGTCTAACGTCTACGTCTAACGTCTACGTCTAACGTTGTACCGTGGCGTAGCTTGAGTTTAAACATCGAGAACACTAAACGAGTAATCTAAACTTTTATTCCTTTTACCAGTATTTTTAAGCTTTCAGTTTTTTTTTTATAGTACTGTTTACCAATCTCTCACAGTTATTCCTATCTTTCCTTTATCTTTTGCAGATTTCCATAACCCATCTAGATTCCTGTCCGGCTACCCCCCGAGACGCATGCAAGGTGCAGGACAATATCCGGATTGCCTGGATACAGCGTAGATGTATCTATCCCACTTAGATGCTCACGCTAGGAGTATAGAAGAGCTCTCAGGGGAACGTCCAGTTCGTGGTCGGTCTATGTACATTGAGAACCAACAGACCCTTTCAGGAGTCATCGACGATACCAGGATATACACAAGACCCCATCGCAACCCTTTAGCCAGGCGACCCGTTTCTATCCATTTTGGGACCCTTTCGAAGGATATCATGGCGGGGAATTACGTGACCGGGTGGGAACAACCACGCGAGCAAAGCGATGTAGGTCAGCAGATCATCTTCAGTGCAGGGAAGAAGCTTGAGCATCAGCAGTCATACCCACAACGCAGCAATGCTGGTGGGAGGCGTCCTTTCGGTCGTTACGGTAGCCGTCCATCATCTGACAGCACGGAGCTAGTCGGAGGCTCGCCGGCTTACAACCCTAAAGGCAATCGCGCTGCTGATATGTTCAAACGCGCGAAAGAGCACACCGACCAGTTTGCCATTGACGACGAAGCCATCACACCCCAGGCCGTTCAGAAAGCCCGCCACGGCGGTGCTGACGACTACGATCTACCCAAGCAGAAGGCCAAGTCCCAACAGCAGTCTAGACCAGTTGCAAGACCAGCTGCTAGACCAGTCTCTCAACCAGCACCCAAGCCAGCGTCCCCTGCTGCTAGTTACTCCACAGATTATGGAGCACCTCAACAGAGTCGACAGCAACAGCAACAGCAACAACAGCAGGCTCAGCGCCAACAACAACCACAAAGGCAACAGCAGCAACAACAACCGGCACGTCAACCAGCTCAACAACAGTCCTTTGCAAACACCTACGGCCAAACGGGTAACGGACCCAAGTATAACGCAAAGACGCGCCAGCACGCAAACCAACAACAACCAGCTACAGGCTGCACCTGGGGCAAGGATAATGTCTCTAAAAAATTCCACTCAGGGGTGCAGCCTTATGAAGACAGCTACAACCGGAGCGCCCAGGGTTGGAGCTCACAGTACAGAGATACCCTGTCTGATGAAGATATTGATGTCTACGACCCTTTCGCACCTAGGAAGAGTCCTAACTACAAGGCGGCACCCAAGGTCAACATCAACAGGAGCGTCAAAACAAGGCAGACCACAGAGTTCAGCGATTTCAACAAGCGTGCTAAAGGCTGGAACCCGATAGGTCTGGATGAGGAGGATGCAGAAGCACTCTACAGCGCCAACCGTCAACCATTGTCCACCCTATCATCGGCCTTTGAGGAACCAAGACCACAGTACGGAGGTGGTCAACAAAGAGCAGCCCAGGCCAGGTCCTCTCAAGCACGACCGGCCCAACAGCGGCAGCAGCAGCAGCGGAGGCCACCCCAGCAACAGCAGCAACAGAGGCCACCCCAGCAACAACAAAGGATGTCTTCCACTGCTCCCTATGCGGCGGGTTCCGGAGGCTGGGGTGGAATGTTGGAGTCTGATGACTTATGACTCGTACCTCATACCACCAAGATGCAGCAGTCCCCGGTATCTCCTGGATCAGGTAGTCATGGTAGTGGTGGTGGTGGTAGTGCCGATGGGAAGCAACACATGGGTAATAACGTGTTACGGCGGGGTCCAGTTGGGGGAAGGGCGGGGCGACAACAAACACAGCCACAGGGTGCGCTAGTTAGGCATATGAGTTGGCCTGGGTACAACCCAGCCCAACAGAACCCCCTTTCACTTAAAATTTCTTTGGGCGTAACGCCGTCGGGTGTTAACCGAATTTCAATCAACATGTAGAAATAGCACGCGTAGTATTTTGAGTATATAAATTAATTTCCTCATGTCTTAGTTGTAGTGTGTCGAGTATCTCGTGTTCCCTATGTCTAAATTCAATGAAATTCTTCAAGGATGTGAAGCGAAAAACTGAAGATGGTGGAAACTTTATCTTCTTTAATAAATTCGAATATTTAATACAAGCGAAAGCAAGTTTGCTTCTCCATGCATGCAATACTTCGTGTGTTTACAGCATGTTTAAATTAGATTTCGTTGGCAATTTGATGTAAATAGTGTTTGCTGTAAAAGTTATTTGGTTTGGGGAAACAGTTTTAGAGATTTATTTTACACGTTTCCTCTACCGAGTTTCAACTTAGTCCATCATTTAGACTTATCAAACGGAACTGTCAAAATGCAGATAGAAGAATAAAGAACAGACTAAACCAGTGAGAGAGAGAGAGAGAGAGAGAGAGAGAGAGAGAGAGAGAGAGAGAGAGAGAGGGTGAAAGTTACATTAGAGCTAGAGAAAGAAGGGGAGGGGTGAGAGAGAAAAGTGTCGGCATGGATGGGGAGGTTAAAATGGTTTTCAAAAAATAAGTGTTGTACATAGAAAATGTAAATATCTCAGAGCAACATATCGACTATCGCATGTGAGATATAGGATTGCAAAAAAGACACAGAACTAGGCCCAGACTTTATGCACTTCTTGAAATCTTATCTAGATAATAATTAAATATTATACAGTCAATAAAACCGTTAGCATGAACTTACGTAGATTATAATCACGTATTGTTTTTGTCTGTTGTATATTGAATATATGTAGCGTCCATTACGACTAATAAGCCGCTTATGGATTGATATATTTCTTCATGAATATTTAGAGAAAAATTATTACCATGCACCGAGAACATTTGCCTTTACCCTTTTTAGATGCATGCCGTGAGATTTTCACGCTAAATCACGCCAAAATAGTAATTGAATAGTGATTACTGATGTTATCATACCCACCTTAGTTCATCATGGTTTAACAACATCATGTGTGCTTTCAACGCGCTGTCTTCACATCTTGTAAATATTATCGATTTTCAACTTTAAAGACGAACTCAAAGAAACTTAAATGAAATTTATTGTGTGAAAATTCTCTAGAGAGGATGAGAGAGAGAGAGAGAGAGAGAGAGAGAGATAAAGAGAAAAAAAGAGAGAGAGAGAGAGTAAAATTGTAAAAGGAAAAATTACTTTTCCCGATTTGTGTTTGATTTGTGTGTGAGCTACTGCGATGTAGATACAAAAGTAGTTCTGATTTTTGTCATCGTCATTAAACCATACTTATTTGGAGATTTTGAAAAAAAAACCTTCTTTTCATTTTATTTGAAGATTTTTTTTTCGGATTAGTTGTTTGCAATGCGCTGGAGACAGTTTGCTGCCATTGAAATGATTGGAATGGTGAAAATGTTTGTTTCTATTCTGTAGTTGTGGAAGTAAATAGTAATCTCATTTTTTTTTTTGTTGCTTTATCTTACATCGAATAACGCCATCCTCATCGTTGTATTCTTCAAGTCTTTGTTTGTGTGATATTTCATTAACGTCACCTTGGCAACGTTCCTGTGCAGTTCCCATTTTATCATTTTATTTTTGATTTAATTATTTTTTATTTAAAAATTTTGAAGCCAAATTTTCGCCGAAAATATTTACAATTAAACCCTCCATTCGACTCATTTAGATTACCATAGAATAAATATAACATTGAAGCACAGGCGGGTTAGTTGTTTAGATTAATTTAAATATATATTTTCTATGCTAAATGATTTAAAAGCTATGTAATTTATTCTTACTTTGAGAACAAACCCTGTCAAAAGCATATGACGTGAAACATTGCAATATCGAATTTATTTTTGAAACTTTGCAAGGCGCGAAGGATGAATGCTAGTATTGCATTTCATCTGAAGGGCCTTTTTATCATGCTGGTTGGAAGAACTTCATGCAATAACCCATCATCGTTTTTCTCTTACATTTCATGAAGCAGTTGATAGGAATTGGTTTGGAATCGTTACTACTTCAGTTTGAAGGAAGAGAACAATGAAAGAGATCATTAAGATCTGCTTGCCGAGTAAATCGAGGTTCTTACAGCAGAATGAATAAAGCTGTGATTAAATGAGGACGGTTATCTGCTCATGCATTGTGTTACCAAGATCTCTTTAGCACAATGCTCTATATTATTTTTTTTCAGCAACAGCTAATAAAGAAAAAGAAAAAGAAGATTTATATTTCTGTGTTTTGCCTTTTTTTTTTTGTTGCCTTGTTGTTGATGCAGAATGTAATTCGTAAGGCCAAGTGTTTTTTTTTCGAGATTGAAACAATCACGACACTTATACCCTTATATTCCTTATCAAGGTTGATTTTTTTTTTCATGATTAAGAACACGATATATCTGCCATCTTGGAAAGGCAGATGCATTACACAAGAGAAGGAGAGAGAGAGAGAGAGAGAGAGAGAGAGAGAGAGAGTTAGAGATAGAGAGGAGACTAAGGCAAAAAAGGGAGAAGGAAAGAGAGAAATAAAGAGATATAGAAAGTGAGAGAGAGAGAGAGAGAGAGAGAGAGAGAGAGAAGGAGAGAAAAGGAGAATAGAGTGGGAGTGAGAGAATATCGAAAGAAGGGGGCTACAATGGAAGAGAGAGGATGAGAGTATGAGAGTATGGCAGAAAGAGAGAGAGAGAGAGAGAGGGGGGAGAGAGAGATAGAGAGAGAGAGAGAGAGAGAGAGAGAGAGAAGGAGAGAGAGAGAGAGAGGCGGAGACTAAGGCAAAGAAAGTGAGAATGAAAGGGAGAAATAAAGAGAGAGAGATAGAAAGTGTGAGAGAGAGAGAGGGAGAGAGGCGGAGACTAAGGCAAAGAAAGTGAGAATGAAAGAGAGATAGAAAGTGTGAGAGAGAGAGAGAGAGAGAGAGAGAGAGAGAGAGAGAGAGAGATAGAGAGAGAGAGAGAGAGAGAGAGAGAAGGAGAGAGAAAGGGAGAAAAGGATAATAGAGAGAGAGTGAGAGAATATCGAAAGAAGGGGGCTACAAAGGAAGAGAGAAGGTGAGAGGACGAGAGTATGGCAGAAAGATAGAGAGAGAGAGAAAGAGAGAGTGAGAGAGAGAGAGAGTGAGAGAGAGAAGGAAAGAGACAAGGAGAATAGAGTGGGAGTGAGATAATGTCGAAAGAAGGGGGCTACAATGTACACTGTTAAATTGAAAAATTCAAACTGATTGCAAACTTCTCCAATACCCCCATGTGGGTGACATGAGAATGAATTGCCATTGTCATTGTCAGGCGTTTCTAAGCGCACAGTTTTCATGAAGTTAGTGAGAAAAAAATTGCATTCACTTTGCGTTACGATTTTCCTCACTACCGTCACTTCGTGAAAACAAGGACGAGATGGTTCTGTCTAACTCAGTATAATTATTTAATTATTCAATTATAATTATAAAGTCAATTTAAAAAGTCCTTGATCAAGGAAATGTTTCTTGAAAAGGTAACAACGTTGTCGACCTTGCAAATCAAATCACCATCTGCTGGGGTGTTTCACAAAGCCTTTTTTCAATAACAAATGACAACAATTAGTGATAATTCTGCTGATGACCAATCAGAAGCAAGGATTTCAGTAGCTTATACAAAAACTGTTATTTGTCACTGATGACATGTTTTGTGAAACACCCCTGTGTATGACATCATGATTACCCACAGTATCAAGCTGTCTCCAAATAATAGTCTATGTTTTAAAAATTGTAAACAGAATGACTTGATCCAAGCTCGGAGTCCACACTGAGAGCAAAGGCTTAGTCAAGATTTCGTCGTGAGAACAGAAAGACTAGTTTAGACAAGAGCAAGGATTACAAACAAAAGCGGTAAGCACAGATTAATCTCTTTGAAATACGTCATCAAAATCTATTGTAACACGACATTGTCGTTTGTCTTGGATGACTTTTCAAGAGAAATAAAAACGAAAAAAATGAACATTAATGTCTAGATCAATGTTATACGCCCGTCTAGAAGTTGTAGCGGGACCCCTCTTTTTTGCACTCGACTTGGTGCTTGTGTTTTTCTCATCTTGTAATGGTAATGTATTGTTACTGAACATAATGGTATATATTATTTTATCTTATCAGCAAGTTTTGATAATAGCAAATTATTTGTATATGTTTTTGTAATTTTAGTGCATGTAAAAGCACATTTAGATGTATAACATGTAACATGCAACGTGGTATTAGTAAGTGATCCGAACTGCCACATAATAGCGATTTGATTGGATATTATGTGAATCAGAGGATCATATTTAAAGTATTTCTTCAATTAATGAAGAGCACTTATTTGTTTTACTACTCCCCTCGTTCTAATCTCTGTAGATTCTCTTTCAGAAGGCCTCGATCCATCTAACCTCATGGCAACCATGTCATTGACATTCCTTTTGGTTTTGGGGTTGATTTCTTTACGGCCATCTTCGGCTCAAAATGGGGCAACTTCGGAGATGGTAAACCGAACGCAATCTAGTACGACCACATCTACGGAAACAATGGTATCATCAGTGACAGCAACACCGAAGATGGAAAACAAAACGCAGTCTAGTAGTACCACTTTTGCGCATACAATGATATCTTCGACCACCTCTGCACAGATGACGGATAGGCAAATTGAGGGCACCACTGCTACAGAAGAGGCGACAGGAGCTATTAATGATGTCTTAGAGAAACTGTCTGTGTCTCCCACCTTGATAACAATGACTCAGCCAGCATAAGTGTGTGTGTGTGTGTGTTGGGGGGGGGGGGGGGGGTAAGAGGACATATTTTATTTCTTTTTTGTCCCAAAATTTGAACATTTTGCCGATCGATATTTCGTTTCGTTGGGGGGGGGGGTGGGGGTAAGTCAGCTTTTTGGGGCCATCCATTACCACAATTTTTTTATTTTTTATTTAAAAGAAAATCAAAGGGGGGGGGGGTTCCTCAAAAACATACACATAACAAATTTAAAGGGAGGTTCAACCCCCCCCCCCCCCCTGCGTACGCGCCTGGATAGTGTGATAAACAACTCTGAGTACATTAGTTGATTTAAGGGACACAACTGGTAATCGTCTCCAACCCGATCTGATGTTTTCCTCAGCTACACAAAAAAGTATATTCGTTTGTAATGAAATATCCATCTCCTTCAAGATTTAGGTCAGGTCTTTCATTTGTCATTCATGAATTTTGTATCATTGAACAACAAATTAAATGGGAAGAATTTTTATTGCAAATTTATCACCCTTTAAGATAAATCTTGGCGAATTCGACAGACACCTCTTAACAAATCTTAACATTCTTACGCCCAGATTTTTTTCGCCAAATATTTTTTTCGGGGATCCCGCCATTTTGTAGGTATGGAAGAGATCGCGTTGGTGGAGATATTGTTAAAACATAATTAGCCAGATTGCAATCTAACACCCGCCTCTTTCTGTCTCTATACATGCGTCTCACTATGAGTGTGCTCCACCTTTCAGCTCTTTACTCTATTCAATGTATAAACATCATATTACATTCACATACCTCCATCATTTAACATCATGATCATAGCGCACTTGTACAGGGGATCGTTATGCTCGTCTTTATTATTTATGAGGTCGCCAACATGTCCTGCATTTTCAAATTTTTCAATGATTTGTTTTTATTTAAGGTATAATTATTCAAATTATTTATATTACGATACGATTATATATATTTGACTTTTGTTCAACGAATTCGTACCTAGTTTATATATTAACTTCTATTTTGTTGAAAACCGCAGAAAAAAAATCGATCGATCAATCAATGAATTATTATATTCGATCCAAGTTCGATCCTGTTACTGACTTACATGATTATGATACAAGAAATAGCCGATTCAACTGTAATTTACCAGAAAGAGAAGTTAGTATTGGAAATTCGTTTCATTACATTGCCATAAAACATTGGAATTCCCTTCGTAATGATATAAAGGAAATAGAAAACTTTGCTCATTTTAAGAGGATATTAAAGGAATACCTAACACTTGAGGGTCAGAGCATAGACAGTAGGTCCATGGTCAGAGGAGAGAAGAGAATGACATGTTTTATGATTGAAATACAGATTTGTTTTCCTTCTGCCGGTTCATACTTTTAATTTTGTATAAACTTATGTTTTTGTACGTTATAGAAATTCGACATATTCATCCTTATTTGCCTCTTCTTCCTCCTCCTCTTCCTCCTCCTCCTCCTCCTCCTCCTCCTCCTCCTCCTCCTCCTTCCTTCTTGTTTTTGTAGTAAAAAAGGTGAGTTAATTTACTGTTTTTGTACGTTCACGTGTCGTCTTGTTCTTCGTTATCCTCTTCAATATATCTGTACACGTCTGGTGTGTGTCATAGATTATTGCTATCGTGATAACTATACTTATATCGCCCAAATGTGAATGTTAAAATTTCTTGGTACTAAACATAGCTAAAACGAAAGAGATGACTTTCGATTTTCGTACAAACAAAGGTCAAGCAAATCCAATCATGCTTAAAGGACAGGATATACAGAGTGTCAAGAGTTTTAAGTACCTTGGTACAATAATTGATAACGAACTCTCATGGAAAGACCAATGCCAATCTCTGTATGCAAAGGCTCAACAACGAATGTACTTCCTACGAAAACTGAATTCGTTCCATGTTGACAGAACCATTCTGATGTTATTCTACAAGTCAGTAATAGAAAGTGTAATGCTTTTTAGTTGTGCGGTTTGGTACGGTGGGTGCAGAAAGGATAACCTTAAGAAACTGCAGAGAATATCCAATCATGCTAGCAAGATGACTGGCGAAGTGACAGATCTGAAACAGGAATGCGTGTGTACAATATTGAAACAGGTATCCCAGATTTTGGAAAATGTTAACCACCCCCTTCATCACTGCTATACCCTAATGCGATCGGGGAAGCGGTACAGATCAATGTAGGCTCGAACCTCACGATTCCTTAATTCCTTTGTCCCGCTTTCCATTCGTAAATACAATGAACAACTCCAGTCAATTTGAATAAGCCTGTATCTTGCCACTTCGCTAGTCATCAATTTGCATTGTACCCTTTCCTTTTCAACCGAATGTACCAGTATCACGAGCAAATAAATAATTAATACCCTATGATACCATATGTTATTCCAAGTTGTAGTTATATACCGTTTAATTTATGAAGGAAAGAAAGAAGAAAGGATTCAGCTATAAAACCGTGATAAAGAATGATACATGTAATAAATACTGTTGATAATGATGATGATAATAATAATAATAATAATAGTAACAATAATAATTATGATAACGATAATAATGATGATGATAATAATGATAAAAATAATAATAAAATATAACAACAATACTACTTCCAAATTCTACGCAATCGTACATTTTCAGTAGTGTTGGAAGTCCATTTATTTATCTATTCTATTTTTCTTATATAATTCCACTATGTAAAAACGATTTATATCCGTGTTTCCATATGAATTTGTCATTGTACATTTGCTACTGTTTATTATCTATTTGTGTATATTATTTTCTATTGTATATTGTTCATGTGCCTATGTAATGCCAACAAATGAATTTCCAAATGGACCAATGAAATTAATCTGAATGAATCTGAATCTGAATCTGAATCCTTTATGTCCTTCAGACAGGACTTAAAGCCGTAGGTCCCTGGGTTACTTATCCACAAACATATACTCAGGCGTTGAGGATAACTGGCATCGAAGGGGGGGTGGCACGGTCTAACTGTGTGTATGAAACATGATTTAACAAGGCAGTTGGGTCGGGGGGAGGCATATACATGTCTTCCCCGTCCTCTTTGATCTCTATTTTCCTTTCTTCCACTGGGGGCACACCCCCTCCGCCCCCTTAGATATGCCATTGGTCAGGCAAAGATAATCATCAATCATCCAATAAATCACTGAACCAATCAATAGCTTTCAAGTTGCCGCAGTTCCACTGCTGTGACGCCTCGAACCCTTGCCGCAATCACAGTTACACTGTTCTCTAGAACATCCAAAGACAGCACACAAACCACCTCTGCATCTCAGTACCGTGACACACATCGCGAGGATACCAACGAAGAGGATGATGAAGGCGGCGACGACACCGAATGCGATAAGTGCGTACCTCCCGGCATCTGGTATTCCACCGTTGGAGCTAACTGTGACTTCTGGAGACGGAACTATTTCAGTGGAGGTTATTTCAGTGGACGAAAGGTTCATAATTGCCTGAAAATCAAAAAGATATTGAAAGGGTTAAGAGAGAGGGATAAGAGAGAGGGATAAGAGAGAGAGAGAGAGAGAGAGTGACAGAGAGACAAAAAGACAAAGGCGGAAATAAGGGAGATATATATATATATAGAGAGAGAGATATATATATATAGAGAGAGAGAGACAGAGAGATAGAGAGAAAGAGAGAAAGAGAAAGATAGTCATAGAGATCCTCTTAACTTATGCAATAAATGATTAAGGTGATGGTAAAACAAAATCGTTCAAATTACGTAAATGGAATTATTTCATAAGTGTAAACAAAGTATAGACGAAGTTGATAGTTCCATTATAATACAGAGGATCAGCAGATGAGACGACTTCCATTAAAATATGGATGAAGTCAATACGATAGGTACATATTTAACAAGATTGACCGATTTGAATCACAAATGACTAAATTTATTTCAGCATTTGCCTGTTCCAGCCCTTTTCTTGGACGAAACTGAATTCAACTTTGTGAAATTTAATGATAAAAATCCTAAATTAGAAATGGGAAGTCTGATTTTCATATCTATGGTGTCTACACGACGGTTTCATGCATAATATATTCTCATAAATATACACTATACGGTAAATATTATTGGCTAATTCATGCAACCGCCTTCGTTAAGTCTTTAGCTCTTGCATTAGTTATGATATAGCACATCATTGCGAGCTCTCAGCCAGAATGACGCAGCTTTGGTCGATTTTTTTTTAATTACGTTGATTTTTGGTCATCCTTTTGCAATGTAAGAGAAGCTATTGAGAAAGATAGTTCATCTACTATTCAGACTAATTATCCATGTTTGAAATCTCTATTATGTTTCTTTGACTTTTCATGATTTCTATGAAAATGGTGAATAAATTCAATCCAATGTTTTAATAACTTAAAAATACTAGGAGATCAAAATCAATAAAGGGAATAGCACTGCACACAGAAATAGGTATGTGGGACCATACATACACACGGCGTGAAAGTTTGGGCTTTCGGGCTTTTTTCTTGACATAATGGAAAAATAAGGGCACAATGAACATCAATCACTTTTAACCCGTTCACTACTGAATTATCTAATTCCCATAGACTTAACAAAGGGAACACCGGGTTCCAGTAAGCAATGGGTTAAGGGTCATTTTATGCACTTTTATCTTCATCAGTGACAAACACAATACGAAATCTCATACACTCTCTTAAAAGTTTCCGCGACGTTCACTTAATATTAAAAAGTTAAAGTTAACGGGAAAAACAGAAATTACTCGACGCCAATAAAATATTCTTGGAAGGAACAGAGATAACGTCTAATCATATTACTGTCTGAAATTGATGTCACTGGTAGTAACACACAACTTGGCTAAACACTTTTAGAAAACTACATGGGGTATGGACTATGTTGCGTGTTAACTAGTAATCCCACATAATTCCCTTTTTTAATTAAACTACTAAAAAGCAGTATCCCTCCAGACAAGAAAACACTTAATAAATGATCACATCCAGACAAATTGATTATGGTTAAAAACTGGTTCTATATTCTATAATTTCACATAAGATACAATGATTACAGAATTATCAGAAACCTCTTCTGTCTATCTCAACAGTGACAGACAATTAAACTATCACTAGGCCCTTGGTAGTTACTATTAATAATCAAACATAGATAACTTCCAACAGCACATTAATGTAAAGGAGACTCAACTTAGTCACTATGGTATTAATGATTACCGCTGAATACAAGTCTCGAAATATCAGGAGTCTAGCTGTTCAGTACAACTTAAAACAGTACTAAAACAAGTCAGTTAAATATCATTCACACTGCATGAATAATAACAGTCAAGAAAATACTACTCAAATCTAAGCTAGACAGCGTTTAGATTTACTTACATAGATCTAGGCACGAAATATTGTGGTTCAAGAAACCGCTAAACAAATCTCTACTAGTGTATGTGTACGGAATGCACAACACGAGAATACAACAATATATCGGTGGATCTAGACTATAGCAGATCTAGATCAGTAGACCAGGCATAGGCCTAGAACTAGTGCAATTATAAACATGTAAAATATGTGTTAGTAAGCGTACGCACTCAACAACAGGCACTCAGTCAGTCAAAATAAGGCCTCGCAATGATAAACAATGCAAAGCATAAATCACAATATAATTAACGTTACGTGAGTCATTGGAGTTAAATTCAAAGTAGATCTTCTTCAAGTTCTAGGTAGATGTAGAAACTAGCTAGTCGAAAACAGTGGTCGACGAGCTGGTTGTCGATCGCGTAGGATATGCAGACGATGATCGACGCTAGGTGAATACCACGATGATGAAGACGATGTTGAAGACAACGATGATGACAACAATGATGAAGACGACGCTGGTGAAGACAGCGATGATGAAGTCGACGATGAAGACGACGCTGGTGAAGACAGCGATGATGAAGACAACGATGATGAAGACAACGATGATGAATCAGTTAACAGATGAATACAATGATGATGCAGTCAATGTCAATAGATCAACTTCAGTGACTTGCGATGCAGGTCGAAGAATCAAATGTCGAGACAATATATATGAAGTCGATGATAAAAGGTTGTCAAACAATAATGCAGGTGAGAAAAACGTTAGATCATATTAAATGTTCTATTCTCACTGCTGGTGAATTAAAGTGTCGTCAATGTTGAACATCGAGAGAGTCAAAATATATCTTGCAAAACGTACAAGATGTAAATAGGTGAGCACGTCCACCGGGAATGGTCCGGGGACGTAGCAGTTCAATCCTCGTTGGATACAATTTTCTAGGTACAAATATCAACACAATAACAGCATGTGTGTATACCAATATTAAAACAGCTCACTGATTCCCGCACAGGAAAATCAGAAGAGCGCCAATCAACTACAGCGCGATTGGTTCAAAACAAGCGCACATGTATGTTAATAAGGCACGTGATCTAAATACTTATGAATAAATACGCGTACATCTATGTTAATTGGTCATGTGATCAAAATACTAATGAATAAACATCGTTATATAATAAATCGAGTTAAAACCAGTTCTGAGGACATGGCGTAATACCAAATCCTCGAACTCTCAATGACTTCTAAAGCGGCCATTTTGGATTAAAAACACAATATGTATACCAGTGAATTATAAATGAATGCACTGTAACATTTGTCGCTACACACTCTTATACAGAGGAATTATACCAACCAATTTGTGCATCCTAACAAAAAGGTATAAAGAATTCATACTTACATGCTTTGACAGACCAAATCATAGTTTAAGGCACCGGTACCGTATGTGTGCATGCTACTAAGCCGATCGTCACAAAAGAAGACCCAAAAGCAGGGGATTCTTTGCAATTCGTTTTACTTGTTCTCTCTTTCCATGCCTACGCTCCAACGAACCCTTTCTTCTGTTTCCCCTTTCTTGCTTGCCTGGAATATTCAGTTTGTGAACAAGTTAAGTCCAGGGGCCTCTAACACTATGAATATGACAGACAAAGAAAGCGGACAAAATATACAGTTCCTCAGGTAGACAAAGGAACATCCCTTCACTGCTTTTATGTAAAAAGTGAATATGCATGTGGCACCTGTTCTACACATTTTTACATAATAGCAGTGAAGGGATGTTCCTTTGTCTACCTGAGCAACTGTATATTTTGTCCGCTTTCTTTGTCAGTCATATTCATAGTGTAACCTCCTGCTCTAACTATGTTATGACAAAACAATTGTGGGTGCTTGAGAGTGTGTGTGAATGAACATGGGTGAGGGGGGGGGAGGGGTATGAACGCAAACTGTATTTCTAAGAATGATCTGTATTGTTTTGGAAAATGGACGAGTGAGGGAGTGGTGGGTGCGTTAATCGGGGGGGGGGGTGTCAAATTGTTTGCACAGCGCTTAAGATATATTAATTATAATTTTGAATATTCATCAGCTTTTAAAATACTAATTAGCATCATATTACAACACGCATACGCTCATGAATGTCAGAGTGTCAGTTTAATCGCAATTAGTAAAATAATTGTCATCTTCTATTAAAGAGCTTTCTAGCTGACCAATTATATTTTTGCGGGGGCCAGTTGGAAGCTTATTTGCACTAAAAATAGGCGTTTATATTTTGGTGACAACGTTTTACTTTTCATCTCATATTTTTTTCCAAACGACCTGACGGTCACCAGATCAACATTATTTTGTTTGTATTATTTGTCTGCTTTGTTTAACATATAGATGGTAAAAGCTGATAGGCATAATTTAGGCAAAATGAGAAATTGCTCATCAGGAAGAACGCAGTATCGTAAAATCAGTGACGTAAAGTGAGAGAAGGCAAGGCCATCAGAACCCGAGCTAAAACAAAGATCATAGCGCACGGAGGTAAAATTAACAAAGGAGGGAAGATTTGAGGTAAAACAAAGCTTCACTAATTGAGCCTTCAATCAAACAATTGATTTAATCAATCAACAAATCAACCTGATAGATCATTTCATAACTTGCAAGAATTGAGACATTCCAATCCATTTACGTGTACTTATCAATCAATCAATCAATCAATCAGTCAGTTGATCAAGCAATCAATCAATCAGTCAATCAATTAGTCAACCTCGAGCATCAAGATAAGCAGTTAATGATATACTACTTTAAAAGTTACCGAATGAATCAATCAATCATCAATAAACCGGAGAATCAATCAATCAATCAAACAACCGGATAACCAATCAAACAACCGGATAGTCAATCAATCAATCGGATAACGAATCAATTAAACAAACACACAAAACAAATGTACAAACAATCCACACTCAGATATCTACCACACCGTGAGTCATTTTTTGAAAGTTTATTCACTCCAAAATTCAAAACAGACTGTATTGATTCAAATCTCCTACCTATAATTAAGCTACACAACGTGAAGCTTATATCAAAAGAAAAAATAGGCATAAAACAGATTTCAACTATATTTCGTGTAGTCATGTGTTTAAGGTTCTCATCAAAATACGATTGCGACACCTGACTTAAGATGTAAGCATTGATTGCAAAAGATGCTCATTTCATCCATGTTATTCTCTACAACATGTTCCCATCGGAAAGAATATACTGTCCCACAGTATGAGCTACTATGACCACATTTGTTCACACTGTGACACTATGAAAATGCTCCAAATCCTCACTGCCTTCATGCGTACGCTTATTGATTGCACGCAGTGACACGTTGTGAAATTACATCTAGTATCTGCCAGCCTATGGAAGTATTTCAGCTCCTATGTTTGACCACACTGTGATGTACACACACTGTCATTTACTATTCTGACCACACCCCACAGTATGTTACCATATGAAACGTTTGCGAACCCAGAGTGTACCTTTATGTGGGAATCGTGTCTGCCACATTGACCACGCTGTCAAACTGGTCCAAAAACCTCTCTGCTGTTACTTTTAATGGTGATGTCTTTTTCCGACCACAGTGCGTTCACTTATGAAACAGTAAGAAACGGGTTGAACAAGTGTGTTCATGTTGCCGAAACTATATTCATTTTTCCGCAGTGTGGTCATTATGGATTCATAATGTCAGTACTAGCACGGCATTTGTGATCCATCATGTGGTTACACAGTAATATGTACCCACTTTGCCCACAGTAGTTTACACTGTGTAACAGCGTTAACAAACTTTGATGATAGAATGTATTCATACTGCTAACACCGTGAACGTATAATTTGTTTTTAAACTGTATTGTTACATTCTATGGATATCTTTCTAGCCACAGTGTTCAATACTGTGAACACGGAGAGAAGAGGGCGTGTTCATATTGCCGTACGTTTATGTAAATTCCCACTTTTACTACAACATGTCCATGTATGAAACCAATGTGAACACGATATGGACAGATGTGACAGCTCTTTGGTTTACACGATCTAAAAGAATAGGACTATGGCAATCTCCTTTGAAGTACAACCATATGTTTGACAATATATTCTTTCCGACAGGATTTTACAAATTCATGAACCTTTCTATTGGACTCACTTATTAGTATCTCATCTCTTCAAAACAAGACGAAATAAATCAATTGCAATCTAAAACAAACTAATATTAGACTCTTCTCATCATGATATGCTCAACATACAAAATATTCAAACGAATTCATACTTAACAAAGACATATGGTATTATTGTAACACAGATGGTATATAATATAACAATTTACTATTTTTCCAAACATCATCTTCCAAGCATCCAAAAGCAAATAAATAAGGTCGGATTTTCTTTTCAAATGTACAGCATCATTATACGCGGAAGAGGAGCAAGAACTTACATACAAAAACACGATTATTGAGTACGTATTGTTTTAAAAAATAGTGCACTTTTGAATGATAACTCAGTCTCTAGCTCTCCATTTGAACACAATATGGTATACATATTTATATGTGTACTATAATTACAAAGGCATCATCACCGATAAAGTAAGGCACTGTACTCAATCTCATCAAATACATTCGGATCAAGCATTCATTTGTACCTATCATATTCAGATAGAGCAATTCTAAAATGAGATGTAATGTCACAGAAAGGAACAGGTCAGGCGAAAGCTAGCACACATTATGTGACAATATGACGTTGATGTGAGGTGATTTATATGATCAACTCCTTCAACTCTGTTAAAAAATATATATATGGGTTAACATCCTTCTGGCTCGATACAAACGATATTGCTGTTTCATTCTAAATTTTACAGAGATATAGCGTCACTCTCTTACGAAATAGTACATGACAGTTTCCAGTGACGTAGTAGAAGCTTGCAGTACCAAGGCACGAGGCCGCTGAGAAATATTACAATCCATAGGATTTGAACACGAAACTGAAATGTGGCCTGGGTTCGAACTCAACTACGACTCTGGACTAATTTTCTTAGACTCGCGTGATAAAAATTTGTCATCCTTTACACTTAGCTTGCAATAAACATTGTGATACAATCGCCATGCATTATCACTTACTTCTTTTTAAATGTGTTTTTGACGTAATGCAAAGTCCTACGAGCAAACGGCATGTTTGATTCAACCTAACTAACAAGGCGATATTAATGACCCCGTGCGTCATTTCATAAAAAGTGCGAACATGACAATGGCATATTACGTAATCAAAACATCATAGACAATGCAATAAGGAATTGAAATCTCCCTTAAGTTGATTTCTCGAAAGCGTTTGCGATCGTGTTGGCTGAACAAAGTGCCCTATCAATCCACATTATACTCCACGCTACTCAAGCAGTCATATATTTTTCCTATTTTATTTTTATTTGCCGCAAACCATCGCATCAGAACGAAAACTCTTGAATGTAGAGTAGAAAGAAACGAAATCAATTGTAATCTTCTCCGCTCTAACATTCGTTGATTATGATCACACATAAAATAATTGACAAATTATGTTCTTTTCTTTTCTATCAGAGCTTATTTTCACCGTAACCGAATTCAGAAACCCCCGATGCACGATAGTTTAATACACAATGATGAACGAATATAAGCGTAGACAAACAACACAAATTTGTACACTCACAAGTCTTGCTTACTATAAGTGCGATGTAGTCTAAGTCGAGCCGGTCAATTACATTTTATACTATAGATATATGTGAAGGAATAGTTTTCATAGCAATTATTTGGTTGAGGAGCTACAAAACAATGTCCTAAATTGTCTTTTAGAACTTCATTCGAAATTCTAAAATGCATATCAGTTACAGGTAAGTTTCAACGATGGTTATTGAGCTCAAGGCTAAAAACTGCTCGCACAAAAATATGTACATTTACATGAAGTATCGTATCTTACTGTACATGTAATTCTATAACTTATGATTGAAGGCTGTTCTATCGAACGAAGTAGGTAATTCTTGCTAAAACATGTGATATTCCTGACTTGGTTTAAGCAGTAATAGTCACAGGAAAAAGTTCGGGATTCTTCTAGAAAATGCGTTGATCTCCTCCAGCTTACACAGAAGCACACTGTGAACAAAATGGTACATACATCTTCACCATTGGAGACGATTGCCAAACTATCCCCTATGACCGAACGTATTTTTTTCTTCAAGAAAAGATGCCGTACTTGTGTAGACTATGCCATTCAGATTTGTTATATCACTTCACAGAAAGTCATTTAAAAAGTAATTTTTAAAGAGTCACTCATGGTCATGGGTGCCTAATCTTCAAAGCGGTCGAGCAACGTGTTCCTAGAGATTTTCCCCTTTCGTTAGAAACCACCATCGAAAATGTTCTGCTTATCTGGTGTAAAAGGCGAACGCACATTTATAAATCGTCGCTCTCGGCTAGTGACACGGTAGGTGAAAGCGCACCATGCCTTGGTGAATCGATACCGAACAACCTGGGTTTGGGGTTGAAATCATTAAAACCACCGCTGTATTTGAGTGGCTTGGTTCCGATCTGGCCTCTACCAGTTGACCCCTGATCAGAGTTCAACGAAGCCGGAGATCCGGACCGGTTATCACCGGTAGATGACCTGCCCCAACCGCGTGGCTTGACGTTAAAGTCTTTAAAGTTGGCCTTAGGGAGCGTTGACCCTGGTTTGAGTGGTATTGAATCCTTGGCCTGTGGTGCCGGGTACTTGGGGAGGTCGCGAGACGCTTTGAAACCAGGCTTTGCAGGGAGCTGTGCTGCTGGTTTAGGCTTGGCCTGAGTAGGAGGAGGGATCTTCATCGGGGGTGGGATCTTCACCTCTTTTTTCGGGAAGGCTCTGGAGACAGAACCTACAGGTGATTCTTGTGCCGCCTCCCAAGGGGATAACTTCTTGATATGAATCTCTGCCGTTGTTGACTTCTCCGGTCCTGGTGGCTTACTAAACGAAGATGGTTTTGCATGCTTTATTGTAGACTCGTCAAGGACAAATTGTTCTGATCTTAATCTCCTCTTTTCAAACATTTCTGCTGCTCTGCCGCCGGATTGACCCTTAAGGCCAGCAGCTAGGACCAGGCACTGTTTCGGCGACACCGAGACGTGCTCGCATTTTGCTTTGCTCTTCAGCTTGACGTTGAAGTTGGTTGGTTCTACCTTGATACGCTGTGTAAATCCTCCTGGAGGTGGTGGTGGCGGTGCGGGAATCCTCCCATTCATCATCGGTGGTGGTGGTGGTGGTGGGGCCGTCTTGATGGTGATGATTGCTGCTCCAGACTCGCCAGTAGACGATCCCTCGCTATCTTCATCCGAATCTTTCTGTCCGGTCGCCTCGATGGTGTACCTGGCACTTCGCTTACGACGCTTTGCGAACATCCTCGCACCTTTTGCCTGCTTGTTCTTGGGAAACATGAGAAGGTCTGCGATCGTTTTACACGCCCGTCTTTTCTCGACAATAGAGACTTCAGGTTCTTCGGTAACCCTTCCAGCTGGTTCCGAGTACGGCCGCTGTAATCGCTCTGTGAAAACATAGGTCAAAACAGAAAACATGAAAAGTCTATAACTGAGCAACACAACACCAAGTTTCAACTAGAAATGCAATCGTGTCACAACGATGTGCGTGCAATGACGCCATGTTTCTACGTGTCAAACGAAAGAGCTTCTCTCGGACTATCCAGAGCAATTTGTACGAAGTCTGTAGCTTCTGTGATATTGGAGATAGGTAGGGCGAAAGAAAGGCCTCAACAGTGACCTTGATGGGATGGTAGTGACTATGCCTACGAAGTTTGAAAGAAAGTGGGATAGGGGAAAGAACCTAGAAAGGGCTCGCAAGCACTGCGTGCAAAACCAATGGGATTTGGGTGTATGATGAACACGTGATGACGCGTGCTGTGGCACTTACGGCCGTCCTAATAACTCATGCAGAGTATAAAGTGGCGTTTCTTTATGTCTCTTTACGGCCCGTATTTGGTATCATTGGAAAGAGAATTTAATGGTTGTTATTGTAAACCACTCCCTTTTTTTCTATGATAATCCTATCGAAACACGTGAAGCAAAATAGATGTATAGGACAAAATGGCGTCTTAAATGGCCCCCTTGACCAATTTCAAAAATCCGGCCACGAGGTGCCCTGCGTATTGCAACTCGGAATGTCATTGCAAATTTTGAAGGAAAAAAAAAGGATGTTTAGGGGGCGAAAAGCAGTCTGAAAAAATGACGTCATGGCCGATAAGTGTTATAACCGGGCGGAAACTCGGCGGAATTTGTATAGTGACCCTTGTTGAAATGCGATTTACACACAATTTTCTGTGTGAACATATACCATACTTGGTATCATTCGAAAGGGCACTTCATTGCGGTCAGGTTGACACCATTGTCATTGGCGCGCAATGTATTGAACGCATTAAACACGCTATTACGTGATGCATAGTAAATTCATCATTTTTAGCGATAACTTTGCGCTGAAGTCATTAAAGTTTACCAAACTTAGTGGACAGTTGTCACGTATACATGTGTCTGCTAAGTTTCATTATTGTAGGTATAAAGATCGCCATTTTAGAGCAAGTTGAAGTTATTTTGGAATTTTCTCGAAAATGGCGATTTTGGAGGGCATTTTTCTCAAATTTGGTCAGTGTTAGGGTAAATAATTTTGTATATGGCTGGAAAGGTCATATCTTCAAGTATCTAAATCCAAAAAAGGGTACGGGTTTGCCAAGCCATTATGGAGATACTGCCACAGAAAGAAAGCCAATTCCCAGAACTTTAGAGGGCGCTATTTATGTTTTGCATAGTCATTGGAGCATGAAATTTGGCATGGCAATGAGCAATTATGAGATAAGGATAATGTGAGATTTAAACACAAAATGGAATTTATATTAGAAAGTTATGGCAGTTTTAGATTTTTAGGGGTCCATTTTTCAAGAATTTGAGAGATTTTTGACGGAGTCAGTTTCAGATTTGAATTTTGAGTACGAAGATGGCATTTTGAAGGTCAAGTTATTTGTCGCAGATGAAAGAACACCTCTCAGACTATCTAGAGGAATTTGTTAGAACTTTGTAGGATCTAGGATAGTGGAGATGGGAAGGAAGAAAGAAAGGCCTTAAAATGGACCAGAAACGCACAAAATGGCGCCTGGACGGTTATGCATGAATATTTTCGAAAATCGAAGAATGTAGTGACCTTGATGAGATGTTAGAGACTATGCCTATGAAATTTGAAAGGAAAAGGACATGAGGAAAGCACCTAACTAGGAATAACAAACACTACGTGCAAAACGAATGGGATTTCTGGACGATAAGGAGAATATTAATGGGGCAGAATGTGAACGAAAACAAGGCAATGACGAAGGTCGTCATTGCAACAAGAATCAATCAGTATTTTTATGATAATTCAATAAAATATTTTAAATATAAAACTCAATAGCGATACCCCCGTTTGTGGAGGGGAAAGGGATACTTTTGTTCATAAGAATAAAATAGTCTCGTTACTGGAGATCCCGGGTTCAAAACCAAGTCGATGCGCTCTTCGCTATGGTAAGGCATTAACCCTTATTAGCAAATTCCTCAGGGAGGCCTTACAGCCGTAAGTCCCCTAGTAGCTTACTTTAAGCATACAGTTTTCTTTTTCTTAGCATTCAGGGAAAAACAAACAAACCTGCTAGAGGCTGGTCCTTAGCGAGACTCCGGAGGATGATACTCGGATCCCTGTAGACATCTGTACTGTCTTCCTTAAGGGGTGACTCGGGGGGTACACCACTGTCTACAGACATACCGCTCGGTGATTCCGGCGGGCTACCGAAGTCCACCTTCAGATAGAAAAAAAAAATTAATTCTTAAGTTAAGTAATGGTAATAATACCTTCTTGCAATGCGCATATCGAATTATGATCTAACCTCTCTATGCGCTTCCAAATGACTTTGGATATTATTACCCTGGCTTTAGCTCCAGTAAAGGTAGTGCTTAGAGCATTTAAGGAATAAATTCTTCAGGCACCCAGAGTCGAGTGTGGCATATGCTGATAGACGTCAGTGATTCGAAGCCCGTACCTTGTGGTTCACAGTCCTGAAACTTATCCACAACATATTTTTGGTGCTTTTTTTCTTCAGACGTGGCGTATGATGTCACATTAGGATCATGGGTGTCGATCCGTAACTGATACCTATTCATCAGGGGGGATGATCTATTCATTCATCCCCCCCCCCCCTGATGAATAGGTATTACGTAAGGATCGACACCCATGATTAGGATGATACTAATATCTAATTTAATATAAGGGTATCTGGTCCCCCCCCCCCCAAAAAAAAAAAATAAATAAAAAAAAAAAAATAAATAAATAAATAAATAAATAAAAATAGATAAATAAATAAATAAATAAATAAAAAAAAATAAAAAAATAAATAAATAAATAAAAACAAATAAAAAAAAAACTTTTCTTTCTTTCTTCGAAGTCGGGGAGGGGGAAATGTGCATCGTGCATAGCAAACACTACTGTTCACATTGCAAGTGGTGACTACTATAAAACAAATCCCTTACTTCCCACAAGCTTGGGACAGGATCCTCCCCGCTCCCGTAGGTAATGGATTAAAATGCAATTGGGAAAACCCCAACATAACCAAAAGGAAAGATATATTTTCGACCTGAACACACCTTTGTATTTTCATCTGGCATGGCAAATGTGATGGTAAGTTCCCGTCCAGAAGGCTTGGATTGCATGATGCTGACCGGTTCATAGGCTGATTGCTTCTTACTCTTCTGCACTGGCGCTGGTTGCCGGAACTGGAGGGCGAAACCGGTTTTCGGACCCGGAGGCGCATAGCGCGGGTTGTCGCTCGGTTTGGGCATCTCGAATTTGGGCTTTGGTTTCTGTTGTTGATGCTGCGGTTGCTGACGTTGAGGTTGTTGCATTTGTTGATAGACGGGTTGTTGTTTGGCCGGTGATGGTTGGCGTTGTGTCGCCTGCCATGTCCCTTGCTTGTGTTGATTGTCTATGGTGATAGTGGATGGCTGCCCTACACTCACTGCAAAAATAAAAAAGAATAAACGGTTGATAAATTAATGTACATGTCTACTTTTACTGAGCTTCATGCAAGAATGATTGACCTCATTCTCTTTGATAAGGCAGTAATCTACATTTGCCACTCTCCACCCAGGTGCCGTCCATGGTTACTTTGAAGGAACGTATTTCTTGAAAAATTTCAGCGACCTAGTGTCTTTCTTTCTTTTTCAATCGGACTTTCCTTAAACTTCAATGTTCTACTTGTATTCAGACCAACTTGATATTTTAATGGTAGGGTGGACTTCCTCTGCAAGCTTTTCATCAATCAAATGCATAATCATTTCAATTGCCTCCCTGCACACGGTGGTGTCTAAAATAGTTAATGTGGAAACTTGAAAAAGTTCGAAACAATTTCATAAAGATGCAGGTCACAACGTATTTCCATTTTCCCGCTAAAGTGCTGGGTACTTTGAAGGTGGAACCCTCTACGTTTAAAGGTAAAGACCAGTTATGGTCATGCGATTGCATTGTGAAAGAAACGTTGTGGAATCGATCAGAAAAGGTTGATCATCTAGCATCTAGCATCTGCAAGGTTCTGGAATCATCAAAATGATAAGAAATTTGGCCCATTCTTCGTAAAGTTACAAGCACTATACACAGAAAGATGTATATGGGACTACCCTATATCTCTCACAGACCATGAGAGAAACAAATTTACCAAATATATGAATTAGTAGGCGGTTTCCCGACAAATTTTTTATCATCATGTATTAGTCAAAACATATTCTTTCACATGATTGGTAATGAGAGCTTCCATTTCATTTTTTGAAATTGGGGCGTTTCTAATACTGGTCTTTACCTTTAACGCATTATATTGTTTTTATAATAGGATCACAGTACATTTTTAAGCAAGTCGCACATTTGACGTCGAGGAATTTATTATCTTTGACGCGTAATATGAAAGTAGCATCGCACACAAGATTAACCCTTTCCTGACAATTAGTAATGAGATGGAAATTTCGCCTTGTTTGCAAAGGGTATATAGTTAAGCATTAAAATTCCCAAAAATAAACAATGTTTTCAGTGTGTTTAGAACTTGTAATGCTGTAAATATTGAAAGTTAGCTATTAATGTTTATACAAAAGAACAAGTTTAAGATTAAAACCGAAGATCATGAAAATATCAAGGTTGAATAAAATCTGAAACTCGTTATATTTAGATTACGAAACGGAGGAAAAACAATGAACACAAAACCTCAAAATATTTAAGAAGGAAGAATATAGAGGGGTCAAAACACTCTAAAAGAGAGAAAAGGGGAGAGAGGGGATCTTTAATCAAAGCATGGAACAAAATAAATTATAATGAGAGGATGAGAAGAGTTATAATGGAAGATTCGAGTGAAGTAGCTAGATTGGATCCCAACACCCCTCCCCTTCCCCAAGCTGTATGTAACGGAAAGTTTCAATTGTCATATAAATTGCTAAGAAAAAGAGCTCCGAAAGAAAATATTGTGAGTTTGAATTTTCTTGAATTTGCTTTGTGGCATGAGCAAGACATAACTTTCAATTCTGATTTTAATATAAACAAGGGCCATCCCTCTCCCCTCTCCCTTTCTTTGTGATGTCGTTTGGTGATGCCTCGATCTCACCATTGCCTGATACTCGTGGTCGATCGGTCGTTGGTTTCTGTGGATGAGTGATGATGACGTCACTGGTTCGTCTCCCACGATCCATCTTGATGGGAGCTGTATGCTCTGTCACTCCGATCTGTTTTCGCACGGGTCCCGCCATGTCATTGCGCTCCGATGTCGTCTGCGCCACGGTTTTCGGTGTCTCGCCGTCCAGTGATTCCATCACCGTCTTCGTCACCGTCTCCTGAAGTCGTTCGCCATCCTTCGTCGTCTTGATCCGAGTCGTTGTCGTCGTCACTTTACGGACTGCGTTGCTGCCGTTTGACATCCGCCGGTCCGCTGGTAGGCAAGATGTGGGTAAATTTGGTTTACCCCAGGATTACTTTTGGCGGGAAACTTTTCCAAAATATACCCTCCTTATCCGCATAAAAAACGGGTCCATCTTTTGTTTTCTTTCATTGTAAATACTTCCCGGGCTTTAAACATAGTAATGAAATCCCCATTTTTGGTCAATATATGTTAGCACCATTTAGTAGCTCCGTTTTAATGACTTATTGAAGGTGATGGCAAGAAAGTAGAGATTAAATAATAAGGTTTCAACAAAACAAATCGGAGCAAAATAATAATATTGATCTTAAAATAGAAAATAACTGTGATAAAGCAATGAAATAAATAAACACATGCAACTGAGGTAAATCAAATGAAGTAAATTCAAGGATTAATTAACTAAAAAAGTATACATATTGATGAAAACTAAGCTCGCATGCTAACAATTATTAATTATATAGCTATATTAATTGACATAAGATTATATTAAGTAGTTGAATGTAGTTGTATTGTTTGGGAGAGTTATAGGATAGAAATAGGGATATTTATCGTGTTCCACTCGAAAATCCACAATAAAGAAAGGCAACAAAAACAGAAGAACGTGTAATAAATTGTAAAGTGTAAAAAACATAATACGATTTTCGATGAGGATATAATAAAGGGAAAAATGTATACAAAAGAGGGAGAATAAGAAAGAAGAGGACAAAATAGAAGAAGGAACGAGGAAGAAGGAGAGAGAGAACATTATGGTGACTTAAACACACACTCGGTACCTGAACTTTGTTTATCTTGATTCTTCTGCATGTTCATCTGTCTGTCTTGCATTCTTGGGTTGGCACTTCTTGTTCTGCAAGTAAAATAGGGGGGGGGGGGGGGGAGTAAATAGTTAAATTAAAATTTCATCTGCAGTTGTATAACCTATAACAGTAACGATTTCATAGTGGTGCATGTACAGTGTACAAAAATAACTGCTACTTTGATTCTGACTTTTAATATCCAATCCCTTTTCCAAAACAAAATATATTTTATAACTATGCTTGATGTTATCGGTGAAACGAGACCATCGGCATGGTCGGAGAGATCGTGAGAGGGAAAATTGGGGAAAAGTATCACTGATTTATTAAAGCTTGGCCAAACGGTTCGAGTTCTCTCTCGCTTTTCACAAGCTTTTAAAAGGTTTAAAATGTATATGTTAAAACTCGGAGACAATGGTAAACGTACGAGCTCTCAGAGCGATTGTTGTGTCATCTGCCTAATACTAATAAATTGTTACCCGACAATCGAGATATCTAATTAGGAAACTCTTGTGTGAGGCTCTACAGGTGAACGCTAGAGGGGGGTATTGAAGGAAAGCTATCACAGCCATCTAACAGCGGATTTCGGCCACTCGGTTTCACTGATATTTGGGTGCTTGCCCAGCATAGCACAGTATTCGCCATTATTGTGCCCAACTCGAACCGGGCTGGCCAAACTCTCCAAATCAATGGCTCTATAAGCATGTTAAAATATAAGTTTACATTATTCCTTACTCGAGGGATAGATATCATAAATCACAGTCACTCTGAAATTGTTTTAAAAAGCGTCGTTTTCAATGTCTTCATGTCTGCTCAATAATTAATGCGCATACAAGTAAAAAAAAAATACAAGGGACAACACAAATAAACATAAAAGTGAGTAGGAATGCGGTACAAGACATGGGGAGGGGCACTGGTGCCGGGGAGTGTTCTCTAGATTTTCGAAGGGAATGATATGCGAATAAACTATTCTACAAGATTGTGGGAGGGTGGTTTCAGAATGTCGTCTCTTTTCCTACCCCCCCCCCCCGTCTACCTTTTCTTTTTCTTTTTTCTTTAATTTGAGAGGGACGTGCTCCATTAAGCCACGCCCCTGTAAATGATACTATAATGACTTGATCCTTTATCAACCTAGAGATCGTTGACTTCTTTCTTTGACCTGCAATGACTTCGTGATCAAGCTAGATTGAATGTGGTCGTACTTCATGGTTTGTGCTGTCGAGTTCCTCAACAGCCAATAGGGATTTATTGTAGATGTCGGAGGAGACGTCAGCTAAGAGTTTAGGGTAACACTTAAAGGGATCCGGTAACTTGGTCTCAGATTCTGAAACAATATCCTTGATTTAGCTCATGCTGCAATGATAATTATAAACCTTTAGGTCCGTCAGGAGCCCCATGACTTTTACAAGCCGTTCGCCTGTCTGATTATCAAGATATTTATGATTGGAAATCGAAACCAAATTTTGCGTTTGTCTTACGGTTTTCAGAACACTACAGTCTATTGGGGAAAACGAGTATGGTAAAACCGGACACTCAAAGATTTTTTACTTTTTTGAGGCACTTCTTGATCATTTTGAATAATAATAATAATAAATTACATTTATATAGCGCTTAATACAAAGTTTCTAAGCGCTTAACAAAAAATTAAATTAAAGTAATGTTAACCTACAAATTACAAGAATATAATACATGATACATAATTATAATAACAAATTCCTAATAACAATCATACAATAATAATAGTTAATATTTACATAACGCTTTATAGTTAAACAAACAAAATACGATTACATTACATTACATATTAAACAGATAAGTCTTAAGTTTACTTTTGAATGTCTCAAGGTTGGGGACTCGCGTATTTCATGGGGAAGATTGTTCCAAAGTTGGGGGGCACAGACAGAAAAGGCACGATTTCCATAGCGGGTGTGGGTGCGAGGGCCTGGGGCAAGATGAAGATGTGCTGTGGATGATGATCTGAGACGCATAGATGAAGTACGAGTTTTAGGAGTGATGAGTGCCGAGAGATTTTTTTGAAGCGCGATTTTTTTTTTTTTAAAAGGCGTCAATATTACACCATATCACAGACACTGATAACACATATGGCCGTGCATCTCAGATTTAACATTGTTAAACGGTGCCTTTAAATCTATCCAAGGAGTTGCCACAAATTTCTTCTTTGTCTTTCCAGGGAAGATTTACAGGTTCCTGCTCTATCTACTCCCTTTGGATTTTATTTTCCCTCATTGATGATGGATGATCACAATTGTGCATAATTTAAAGATAGGTAAAGACTGATTATCTATCGAGATGAATCGTTTAGCTTCCCAATACTATCAGGGAGACCGAACAACTCAGTTACAATTACCCCTATGGCCAAACCGACTCCAAACCAATACACCGACTAGATTAATGACCATTCATTGTTAGGAATCCTTGTTTGTTGATTGTCTAATATTCTGGTGTTATTATAATAAGAAGTGCTCAATAAATGACAAATTTGCGAGTTACATGTTGCTCTAATTAAAGAAAATTGAATTGGACTCCGCTCGTTACTGATGCTGCATATATCATTCACATCTGATATTTTGTTCAAAGTCTCCCATCTAATTCTGTAACTAATTGAAACACGTATAGGTTTGTACAATTTTTTCATTTCGCAATTCTGCGAAATGGATATGGCGCTTTACAAATAGTTATTATTATTATTATTATTATTAGGGAGAAACCACGTAGTGGTCTACCTGCACATCCCTAGTCAATTATACCAGCAGGTGAGACCCGAGGGTCACAGTGATTAAGTTCGCTTTTCCCCTCCCAGTCACAGGTGACGCCAATACTTAATAATAATAAACGAAAATCATATCATACCTGACGATCTCGAGATCGAGCGAGTCGTTGGCCTCGTCGATGTAAGCCATGGCGACATCACGGGCTGCGTTCCGTACCGACTTACTGTTGATCGACAAAACACGATCACCTTCCTGCAAATCAGCGTAGTCCGCTTTGCTCTTCTTGCGGATCTAGATCCAAACAAAAATTGAAATGATGGTTTAGTTTTTTCATCTCATGAACATTGTAAAATGCTACTTAAAAATTAATGACTTTAATCGTTGACTGGGCGCCAAAATATCCCGCAGAGCATCTGTATTGAGTAGGAATTAGTCATGATCATTCTTTGAAATCATGCATTGACCACTGACCATTGATATGATAATAGGTTAGAAGTTGCATTTGTGTGTGTAAGTTAATATTCTTTAACCAAAGCAAGAAATAAAAACTGAGTACAATGTTATAAAGATATTAATATCAAGTTTCGAATCAGAATTGAATATAATACTTGTGATTACTCGTTGAATAATGCACGGGCCATCGGCATGTATACCGTCATCAGTCATGCTTACAATACCAGTTCTTTAATAATGTGATATAATCATTAATGTAACAAAAATTGATAAAGACATCTATAGCAAGGACGTGTGTTAACGTCAGTGACGTAGCCGTCAGGGGGCTGCACGGGAGGCGCGCACGGGAGCATGCTCCCCTAACAAAATGAAAATGAGAAGACACCGGGAATAAAGAAAGAAAGATGAAGAAGGGAAAAGGAGGGGGCAACGTGAAATGACCTACTCCAAAACCCTCACTTTATTCTCTCGCATTTTCATTCACGGGGTAAGACCGGTCTGGATCCACGACTACGTCACTATTTCACTTGTTTTCTTCATTAAAACTCCAAACGTAAAAATTCACCCTTCAGAATATCGTGTTTTACTGAAGGAAGATTGAACTACAGGAGTAAGGCCAGACCTGATATTGTTACTGAAATTGTCATTTTTGTTTAATTCTACAAAAGCAGCTGTACTTGCTTTAAAAAAAACATGTTTCTCTTTTCAAATCAGCAATATTAGCACTGTAAGTATTCGTGACTTTACATTGAGCACTGCAAATTGTGGGCATTACTGTGCAAAAGTGTAACCTTTAGGTGACGCTCCCTGCGGTAACATTATTATAAAGCTTTGAGTTGCAGCAGTATGAAATGGGAAGTTTCGGTGCGATCTAGGAAGGAAACGGAGTGGGAGGGGGTTAGGGAAAGAGAGAGAGAGAGAGAGAGAGAGAGAGAGAGGGGGGAAGAGAGAGGTGTGCGCGAGGGAGGAAAAGATATGTATGTAGAGAGAGAGAAAGAGAGATAGAGAGAGACAGAGAGAGACAGAGAGAGACAGAGAGACAGAGAGACAGAGAGAGAACGAGAAAAGACACAGAGAAGTATACACTGGTCCTCATTGGACGGCACTAGCCTTAACCCGATGACTACAGAATAATTATTAAATTCCCGTTGGCCTAATACAGGTACCACCAGATTCCAAAATGGGTTAATACAATGGAATGTAAGGGAGTGAAGCGATAGAGGGCCGAGTGAGGGATGGGAGCTGATCGCATCACCCTGCTTACGTTCTTCCCTCTCTCTCCCCTTTCAATTTTTTTCATGTTTTGCCCATTCCTATGGGGCACGTGACCCCAGTGCCCCACGATATTGGATGTAAAATAAAATGGGGGGGGGAGGAAGCAAAGGCTTAGAAAATAATAAGTCAAAAGAAAAGAGGAGCATGTCAATGAGGAAAAGGAGTTTAGATTTCCACTCTTTTCACACAAAACTGAGGCGGGGGAGATGAAGAAAGAATATACAGGAGAAAGTGACCAATGAAGAGAAAATATCGTACAAAATAACATTAGTTGCAAGTAAAAACTGAGCGTTAAAACACGTTCTTGTGCTCACAAAAGTCCGTTATTCATTCGAGAAGATTAAACAGGCTAAAACTGGAAGGTAATGATTGAAATACAAATCAACGGGGCACTCGAACAAGACAGACTCTGAGTATCAGGACAAGAAAAAAAGGGTCGATCTTACAAATAAAATAAAAACATCGTTTAAAAAGTAGGAAGGAATAGACTCTAGTCCGCGACAACTTTTCATATCTGAGTCGCCTCGGGAATTACTAGCCCAGACTGGTCGGGTTGTAATCAAACTAAAGGGAATAGTGAAGAAAATTGAACCTTCGAGCTAACTTGATAACAGAGTACCTCCCCTACGGGAGGACTGGCTTTACTCGTGACGTCACGTCGCGGTATTAGTAATAACTACCAACTAGTGCAATTACCCTGGTATATTGAATGCCCCTTTTATTACCCCCCTTGTACAGGGCGAGGTGAAGGTAATATATTGTACTTTAGTCGCCACCAAGCGAAATATGGATACGAAACAAAATGACAGAGGCTCCGATATTAAAACAATTTATACCGAGGTCTCTGCACTTTAACTAATGTGTCAGATACGTCATATTTATGTCGCCTGTCATAAATGTGAAAAAATTAAAGAATAATAAGTAGAAATTCATGTCCCTCTCTGTTACTGCCAGAAATAACTATTGCAGACAATAAGTATCAAAGAGGAACACACAAATGGCTGCTAAATGGCTGTTAATCTATCGAGGTGCAACTCAGTTACCGATACCCTTGCCAAGTTTTTAAGACAAGGGTGTTCTCTGCTAACATTCGGTTACACAACAACATCCTGTTTCGGTTGTAAGACACAGGCTCCTGCGGCAACTGCTCTCCTGTCAGTTTTCTATCTGCATTTCTAAGTTACATTTTGGACTCAACACTAACCCTAACCCTTAACCTAACGTAAAACCTGATTGCGTCATTCATCCTAACCCTGTTCATTTGAAGCGTTTAATCTGGCATACCATATAAATATTAATTTGTTTGTTTGTTTGTTTTTTTTTTTTTTTTTTTTTTTTTAGGAAGTTAGCCCCCCCCCCCCCTTCAGAATGCTGGTTACGCCCCTGTATATAGAAACGGGAACACAATTCGAAAAGGTGAACATGAAAGAAAATGAATGTCAGTGTTATAATTATGTGGACTATGTCTGCATAATAAGTTGACCAAGACAAGTGAGTTGACCGACAAGGTCTGGCAAGATTTCAAGATTTTGTCTGAGGGCTCAAGATATAGACGGCCCCCGAGACCGAGAAAGTCAGTCTCGCGGGCCTTCTGACAACATAATGTGTGGATTTCCGAGACTCGCGGTCTCGCGGGCCGGGCGATGGTCAATTGGAATGTCCCAAATCTGCGTTACCCCCCCCCCCCCCCCCCCCCCCCCAGCAACAAAAAACAAAAACAGAAAACAAAACAAAAACAATCAAACAAATCTATATCTATATCAGTATCCCCGTCATTTTGTGAGGGATGTCCCGCTGTTTTGAGTCACAGTTTTGAGAGGAAAAAATGAAATATCTCTGCGGAAACGTTCATCTGTTGCACTTGACTAATGTTACTAGGACGACTGTCGACTGGAATGACAGACCTTGTTGTGTCCGTCTCATAATATGATATCACATTGATAGATGGATCAAAACACAATACTTTGACTACTGGAACCGGGTGGTCCGTGTATTAGGCCTATGGGAATGTCATTTTGTCTTCGAAGTACCTGGTACATGTACATCATATTCATAATTATATAAGCAGACAATGTCGCTGAACGAAAATAAAGTTAAGGTTGCCCAACAGTAAACTGATTTAAGGGGGGTGCCTAGTTCGTCTAAGGGCCAGACAGAAATATTTTGTTAAATGATCAGAGTCAATGAGATAGCAGATCTTGAAAACAAATAGTCCACATAACATATGAATTTGAGATACATGTGTTCAAAGGCGTGCACGCGATGTACGTGTTGAAACGTATCGTGACAAGAAATGGACAAATGTTTCCCGATTCATGAGTCAAGTGGCATTCGCGATGTGAACGACTCCCAAAATACAATTCATGGTCACGCAATGTTGTTTAGAGGGGTAAATCATCCTCTTTAATGCCTTCCCTCTTATGAAGATACACTGATAATAATAGATACATTAATATTGCTTGCCAACATATTCGCCCATGAGACGCTCAAGGCGCCTATAAAGTACTACAATTCCCCTGGTTGAGGCAATATGCAAGGTATTACTTCGTACCAGGCATCCATTAACTTCAACTGATTTGAAAATGGCAATAGTAAATTTTAAAAAGTGCGGCGACAGGAACTCGAACCACGAACCATTCGATCTGCTTGTATAATAGTCAGGCATCGTAATGAAAACTCAGGTTCACGATATCAAGTTACAACTGGTTAAAAGAGTTTAATACAGATTAACAAGGAGAAGCGTATAACTATAGGAGCGGGGGCACCCCTCCCCCACGAATGCTGACCCCCCCCCCCCCCCCCCGTCCACAAAATAGAAAAGGAAACAAGACTTGCTAGACATGAGGAGAGAGGAAGAAAGAGAAGTGGAAAGGGGACGTGAAAAAAGATGATGCTATAAGGTACCCTCCCACATCAAACCCCCTCCTCTCCCCATAAAGGGCGGCCTGATAATTGCACTTTATCCACCCTAAGCCCAGCGTTCCCTCATGGATTCTCGCTACGCCACCAAGAAGCGAGAAAGTGCCCCTAAGTCTCTCTTCTCGGCAAATATTTCATTAGCCTGGAAATCAATAACCGCATCCGACATTTAAACCCCCCTGCTCAGGCAGCTGTGAGATTGTAGAGCGGTGAAAAACGTTCATGACGGAAAAAGGGGAAAATATAATTTTTCTTTGAGCATCACCTCTCAAACCTGTTGTCAGCTTATCAAAATGTAGGCCTATTTGTGCGAAATGAGGGTGATAACTTGTGTGTAGAGTTTATGTTGATCTATGATGTACTAACCGGAATTTTTCGGGGGGGGGGGGAGGGGCTACTCGCCCAAACTGTATCGAAACTAAATAATGTGCATGTAATGAAAACATTGACAAATTGTAGCATAAACCAAACGAAACACCAAATGGCTACGGTAATGCTCACATTGATCGTCTACATATCAAATGTATACATAGATGATAATTAGGACTAGGTTCGTCATACAGGAGAGATGAATTTTACTCAAATGATTTACTTAATGTGCTTCAAAACTGCATAGAAACTTCATAAAGAACAATTCATCTTCG